TACCCGAGCTGAGACAGCCCTTCAGTCTGGTGTTGAGCGTGACTTTTTTGTTGTGGATCGACAGGCTGAACGGGCGAAAGGATCGGAACCAACCATGCGCCCTGTGGGCTCTGGTGCGCTGCGCCGTACAGATCAGACAATTGTGCTGCGCAGGCCCCTTCGTCTGCCTGAACATGTTCGCGAAGGAAGTGGGAGATCGCCATCGGATATTCTTGGCGCTCAACACCTTCGCCAATCTGCGCAATCAGGCCTAGATGGAATTATTGTTCTCGGAGAAGATGGGCTACCTACCTACTCGGACGCCCTGGGCACCATCTCAACGGGCATCTCCAAAGAGTGCCAGCATATCCAAAGACAGAAGACAGCCGAATGGCGCAAGAGGTTCGCGACCTGGACCAAGGACCTCTACAAGCTCACGACCCCGCTCTCCAGGGCGTCGGCTCCGACACCCACGTTTGGAGCTCAAGAGATGAAGGGGGGATTGGCAGCAGCAGTGGCGCCCTCCCAATCATCCGCAAGAAGCAGCTGGACATCTACAAACGTGGCGGCAACATGCTGCCAGTGTGGTCTTTCCTCGCACCCAGTGTGACAGGCAGTGGTTACCATCTCCAGAGGCCCTGGAACATGCGATTGATCGCTCATCTGGAGCCCCAGGTTTGGATGGCTGGAGCGCGCAAGAGCTGAAGATCGTCAAGAAAGCTTACCCCGTGCTGGTGCAAGAGCTCTATGAGCTTTGGTGTCGGCCATCTCGTTATGCAGTGGAGACGAAAGGACGTCCACCACGTGAATTTCTGAACAAAGTCTTCCCCTGGCGTCTTGTGGGGATCCCCAAATCTGAGACAGATCTACGACCCATCAGCGTTGGCTCTTTACTGGTAAGATGGTGGCTGAGTGCGTTGGGATCAGCAATGCCACCTGATGGCGACAACCAGTGGAATTGCAAGATAGGTATTTCAGTCACCCGCGCGATCAGTCGGTGGCTGTACGACGTCACACAGAATGAAGCTGGAGGTGAACTTGACCTTTCTCGGGCGTACGACGGTATCGACCACGAGATTGGCGAGGCAGCTTTATCGCAGTGTGCAGCTCCCGACGCGGTGGTGTACACAGCCCTTGCAGCTTGGACAGGACCAAGGTATTTGAATGTTGCTGGGAATTTTACCGACCCAGTACGGCCAGAACGTGGATTGCCGCAGGGGGATTCGATCGCCCCAGCTGTCATGTGCGCCACTTCAACCTGACAATGGCCGCGCCTACATGGACGACCGCAGCTTGGTCAACCTATCTAGCGAGCTGGTGGCTGACGACTTGGCGACCGCTCAGGTCTTTGACAACGATTGTGGCTTCAAGGAGAACCGTGGCAAGAGACAAGTTTGGAGCCGAGATGACGATCCTCCCAGCATCATCGAGCACCTCGGCATCAAGTGCAGGCCGGTGGACCCCTGCTACCCCATCCTACCCTGAAAGGGGTGGGGACAAAGTCCTCCAGGCGATCGTGACCTTGAGTTCGATCTCTGGAGGTATGGATGTACGAGAACGTCTCGCTATTGCATATATCAGGCCGCTGTGGTAATGGGCCTCACCACTTCTGGCGACGCTGCCAGAGGACCCCCCTCGACTTCTTCATCGTGCTGTGGTTCGTGCGTGGTCGAAGTGGTGGTGCCAAGGACGATGGTGGGCACGACGTGTGCACCTCCACCCCGACTTGGGGGCCACCATGTACGCCCTCGACACGGTGAGCCACGAGAAGATCGTTTGGAGCGACTTTGTGGAGACTGCCATTCGTGCTCATTGTGAACAGTTGGACCTTTCTTTTGTCAGATATTCCGACAACCAAGGATGTTTACTGGAATACTCCCCCGGTGACGACCACCGTGTGGTCGCGGCCCTCCGCGACTTCTGTGCACCCAACACAACGCAGTTTTGGACGCGCAGACCGACAAGTGAGAGATATCTGAACCGCCTCCGTCATGCACTTATAACGGTGGCCAGAGTTCGATGTTTCCAGAAAGTTTCAAAGCAGCGACATGATTCTGAGGACGTCGAGGAGATCGACCCGAACGTCACGTCGCACAAGTACTATGCCAAGTGGGCACACAGCCTGCCCGATGCTGAGAAAAACAATCTCTCTATCTTCCTCTCAGGTGCTGTATCATCGGAAACACGCCGACAGTCAGGTAAGCCGTGGGCAGTCTGTGGTGCGCTCTGGCCGTCATTTCGTCACACGTGGGCCGAGTGCCCCGAGTATCAGCAAGTACGATCCAGCATCGCCACCAAGTACTTGCTACAGCCCAACTACTGGACAAGTGTGCCACGCGTGACATCCAAGAGCTGGTGGGCGACCATCGGCCAGGGTGACACATTATCAAGCAGAGCCCGTATGATGAGAGCTGGTTGTGAGCTTGCAATTGTTATCTTATCGCGGGACCCAGATGAGCGACTACGTCCATTGGATGGTGAGTGTTGGAATGGAGGTACTACTCCAGAGCTAGGGTGCATCTCTTCACCAGCTTCTTCGGTGCCAGATATGGAAACAATAATATTTGTGATGGTGGCGTGACCGCGCTCGGGAGGATGAGAGAGGTTCGCTAGCCGGCGCTCATCGATCTCCGCGCCATTGGGAAGGGTTGGGGTCCAGCGCGGGCGTCGCGTCACCCCGCCTGCAAGGAATTGGTGTGGCCGAGGGTGCCCAAATCGAGGCTCCTCGCGCTCTTCGTGGTGTTGTCGGACAGGGCGGAGTAGGTGAGTTAATCGCGTCGTTCTTCGTGTTAATCATGTAGAGGGTGATCGGTCTCATGTCCTCGAGGTGCTCCTGGGTGTATCGATTGAGGCTCCACCTCTTGGGTTGTGTGTGACGTCTGTGTCGTACGCAACCGTCAGCATGTAAATGCAAAGCGTGCACAGAGCTGCCGCAATGGAAGCAACAGTCCCACTACCAATTCGAGAACGAGGGTGACATCGGTGTAGAGCATATCGAGGGATGTACCATGTCGGTAACGGCAGTGTGAGGGACAATATCCGTACTTTTTCAATGAGTCGCCGCAGATCCAATGCAGTCATGCTGCGCTGGTAGATAGGGCGCCAGTGCCACGAGCCACAGCAGCGGCGGTCATGCAGTAGGCAGTCTGATTCCCTTGGAGCCTTCCCTCCAAATCAGCAGGCGGTTTGAACGACCACCTGGTGCTGCTCCCCAAGATAGTCCAAGATGGCCTCCACGACGTCCACAATGGCACAAAGAGAACCCAAGATGGTCCTGAGATGCCTGCAAGACGGCCCACAGTGGTCCCACGACGGCCCAACATGGCTTTGAGGCAGCCCAAGACGCCCCTGAAACGCTGCAAATTGCTCCCAAGAAACCTCCGCGCTGCCGTTCCGCCAAGCGCCAACTGCGCGCCGGAACGCTTCGTCCACGAGCACCTCAAGCTCTGACTTGGGGGTACGGTCGCTGCTGCCCGAACGCCGCCGCAACCGCGACTTTGAGGATCGGGGCCTGGGCCACGGTCATGGCCTGCGGCAGGAGCCTGTGCGGCGACGTCGCAGTTGCTGGCTGCGAGGGAGGGCCTGACGCCAGTGCTGGTGGCGCGTAGCCCATGCCGCATCTTCTGCCTCTTCCGCCGCTGCTGCCACTGCACCCGCCACGGTGTTGCTGTTTTGCGGCTTGCCCGTGTAAGGTCTCACCTGGCGAATGCAGCATTTGTGCCTGTTCAGCTTAGGGCTAGCTCCGCTGGTGCGTGAGGCGCTCTTCGCTAGTGGACCACAGGCGCACCACCAAACCACACAATTTGCCACGGACAACGCTTTTGCAAGAAACGCGAAACTTCATTCGTAACCTTCGAATGCCACGCGGAGGCTTCGGGCGAGCGCATGTATTTGGAAAGGCGCCTGAACCAAGGGGCCCGAGGGAGGATGAGGTGGACAGCGAGGGAGGAGGGAGTACGATGAGGAGGGTTGTTGTTGATCATGCTGATGATGATCATGGTGATGATGGTGGTGATGATGACGGTACTGATGATGATTAGCATGAAGGTGCTTACAAGTGTGATGATGAGGACTGGGAGATGAGGGTGTGGAGGGGAATGAGGAGGAAGAGGGGGAAGAGAAAACGGGGCAAAACTGATGGCGTACGTCTGGAGCGAGAGCCGCACGGGTACGTTGGCATTGGGGCCTCACTGTCGTCGTTGTGTGGACCATTCGAAGAGCGCGCGTGTACACCTAAGACGAGCTAGTGGGCGAATTACCAGCCAGGCCAAAACAGAGCCTGCCCTGCACTGCCTCCTCCTGCTCACTGTGGACAGTTGGGCAGTGGGAGATCGAGAACAAAAGCAACACGACCTCCACTCTAATGCGCCGCTCGGGCGGTGGGAGACGAACCCCATGACACCTTCTCACTCTTTCCTCTTTTCTTCACCTCGTCCCCCTTTCCTCTCTATTTCCTCTCCCTCGCGTCTTCCGTTTTTTATCCTTCATCAGAACCCTCGTCGCTGCCACTTGTTGCCTCGTCAAAGTGCTAGCACACCGCTCCGCAATACAGCCTAGCAAAGGATATCATCAGATCTGAAACGCGCACGAAGCGCAGAACTGCCACGACTGTCCCGCAACGCGGCCTTTAGCAGCGTTTGCGAAGATGACCCTGTCATATGTAGCCACCAGGCCGTCACACGGGCTGCTCTTTTTCATCTGCTGTGCCAGCGGTACCTCGCCTGAAGGATTCTCACGGCTGGGGCACACCTGGCGGCATGGAGGAGGCCTCGACCTCCAATCAATTGCAGTGTCCTTCTGAAGAAGGGTCATGAGGAGTAGGAGGACGAGAAGTAAGGGGAGGAGAAAACGGAGGAGGAGGAAGCGGTACGGCAAGGCATGCCAAGGGCGGTCGGAGGTCTGATGTCTGATATTAGGGCAACTTTAGACAGGAGGGAGGGGAAGTGGAGGAAAGGGAGGAGGATAATAAGGATTATGAGGAGGGTAACACTAATGATAAGCAGGAAGATGGGGAGGTGGAGGCGGTCTTGCATTACTTTTGCAGTGCAGGCAGGAGTGCTTACGACTGATCGTTAAAAGAATGCACGCCCTGGATCTGGTGCAAACTTCCACACGATCCGTGGCGAATTGTGTAGTCTGGGCCCCAGGCGAGGTGGATCCTCCTCGTCCTCTCTTCCTTCTTCTCCTTCTTCTTCTTCTTCTTCTCCCTCCTCCTGCTCCTCCCCTTCTATCCCTTTCCCGTTCTCCCTCGTCTTCCCTCTCCATCTCCTCCCTCATCCTGACCTTCCCCTTCCCTCCCCCACCTCCCAAACCCTCTCCCTGACCCACCTCTCCCCTTCTCTACCCGTGCGCGTGGCGTGGGCGCGCCGCGAACCCAGGCCACAATGGCCGTGCCGGGGGGCTCTGTGCGAAGATCAGCCTTCAGCTTCCCGCTTCTCTCTGCCTGTACCTCCTCCCCCTCCTCCACCTTCTCCCCATCCCCCTCTTCCCGCCATCCCCCTCCCCCCCCCTCCTCCCCCTCTTTCCTCCCCCTCCCAATCCTGTTCCCTCCCGCTCCTCTCGCTTCCCCCGCTCCACCTCCTCCCCTCCGCCTCTGCCTCTTGAACCTTCCCCTCCACCACCTAGCCGCTCAGACCCGAGATTTTGGGCGTCTTGCAATGTTTCTTCAAAGCGGCCGTCGGTGCTACGGGCCAAGCGTGGCTCACGCAGGTCCGTTCGAGGGATCGTAGCCCGCACGTTGTTTTTTCACGAACCGCCCCTGCGGGGACACTCAGTCCCACCAGCCCTTTAGGGCGTACGGTGGTTCGGGGAGTTTCCTCTTCCCCCCCCCTTCTTCCCCTTCGGTCTCCCCTGGGCCTGGACGGAGGTTTTCGCGAACGGTCAGGGCGTCCAAAACGGCCTCGGCGAGGAAACCACAGTCATTGGTTTTACTGAAAAGGTTTGGCCCCATTTTGGCCTCTTTGGGGGACAACCGTAAATAAGGAACCCCCCTTCTTTGATCGATGTCCTCCAAGATGGCCCCAAGAAACGCCCAGGAGGCTCCAAGAAGCCCGACCCACCTGTGTTTCCCTCAGGGTTTCATATGGTTGGGTTCGTCGCCAGGAAGATCTTCCAAGCGGCGTCCAACCCTGGCGACGAGGGGTGGCAACAAATCCGAACTACCGTAGTCTCAAACGGACTTCCTTTCATCCCCTAGCGCGCGCTGTCTAACCTCTTCGCGGCTTGGCGGGCATCCACACGCGCCTGTTGTCGAACAGCGCAGTCTCGAAGTCGTCTCATAAGCGCTCCAGAAGCGCTCGCAAGGGCTCCAGAGGCGCCCACAAGCGCTCCAGAGGCGCTCACAAACGCTCCAGAAGCCGCGCGGAGAGGCTCGTAGTAAGCTCATACGAATTCTGTAACTGGGGAAGAACCCAGTTCACCGGGAAATGCCCTCGTCTGCCGGGACAAATTATTTCGGATGACCCCAGGCGGCCCTAAGAGACCCCCCCGAAGCACCCAAGACGCCCAAGAGCCCCCCAGGACCGCCAAGAGATCCCCAAGACGTCCCAAGAGGCCACGAATGAGTGCCCAAGAGATGCCCCAAGAGGCTCCGAAGGGCATCCAAGAGAACTCTGGCCCTTTTGCTTGCTCTCCTCCTCTTGCTCATCCTTCCTCCTTCTGCTCCTTCTCTTCTTCTTCTTCTTCTTATTCTTCTTCCTCCTCCTCCCATTCATCCTCCTTCTTCCCGCTTCCTCATCCATCCATCCAACCTCCTCCTTCTCCTAATCCCTCCTTCGCACGGTTCGGCCGCCCCCCTCTTTGCTCCCGCGCTTCCCTGATCGCCTCAACTCGCCTGGGCGCCGTTCCTGGATGGGCTGGCGGGGGTACTTTTTGATCGCGACCGCGGCGAGGAGCAGGTCGGGCGGCGTCAGGGCACTGCGAACGAGCAGCGGCCTAAATTAGCGCGCGAGAAGAAGGGCGAAAGAGGACAATGACAAGCAGGGGCAGAGACACGCAGAAGGCGAGCCTCGCTGCCGCTCAGGAGGCGCACGCCAGGAAGTACATCCGGGCGACGTGCAACACCGGGTGGTAATTCAGGGGGCCCATCACGTCCCTGACGAGGACGACAGCCGGCAAGACGAACAGCAGGCCCAAGCGAAGACGAGGGGCGCGGCGCCCTGACAGCGAGCCGCCGACCCAGAGGAGAAACAGGCCGTGCAGGCGCTCGACGGAAGCGTTCCGGATCGCCAGACACCGAAGGTGTCGAGGGAGCGACGGGGGGGTCCCGACCGGACCGCGCTTCCAGAGGCGGATGGAAGCGGCCAGAGGGCCGGCGGAGGCCGGCGGGGTGCGGAGAGCCGAGAGGGCGGCTGGTGGGGATTTTTTGTCGCGAGCGCAAACGGTGCAGCCGCGCGCCGTCAGAGCGAAGCAACAGTGCAACGGCTTAAATTACGCTCCGAGCGCACAGGGGCGAACTGCGCTGCGGCTCGGAGAACGCGGAGGGCCAGAATGGGCTCCAGGTCGACGTGCAGCGCCAAAATGGCGATGGGCAAGAAGCCGACGAACTCGAGGACCACCGTGACGCAGCCGAAGAGGACGACGAAAGGGCGTGCAGGCGCTCAGCGGAAGGGTTCCGGATCGCCAAGAGCGGGAGCGCGCTGGCGGCGGAAGCGCCGCCGCGGGGGGGGGCAGGAGAGGCGTCGCCACGGCAGCGCAGGAGCAGCGATGGCGACGAGCCAGCGGGGATGGCCGCGCTCTGTGCTGGAGGCAGTGGCGCCAAAGCCAGGGGCACAAGCCGACCCTGGGGGAAGCGACGCGGGGGGGGGCCGAGCGCCCGTCAAACCCGAGCGGGCGGAGGCAGCGAACTCAAGCGAGTCGCAGGCCCAGGGGCCCAAGGGCGCCCCGAACCGGATGGGGCTAGCAAGCCGGCCTCAGGGGCGCCCAGGATGGCCGCGGAGAGAGGGGGCCTGCAGCCCAGCGTCCAGGGTCGGGGGGGTTTCCCAGCGACCTTACGCGCAAGGCTGGGGCGGCGGGGGGTGAGAGGCCGACGCGGTGCGGGGGTGCCCCATCTGCAGAGCCTATCTACAGAAACCGAAAGGACTCGCCGAGGACGTTGGCCAGAGCGCGACGGGCCGAGGAGGTTTCCCTGCGGCCTCGCGCGCCAGAGCAGCGCCGCCGAGCGCCGACTGCGACGATCCCGGCCCCGGCCGTCGTCGTCGCCCAAGGGGGGGCCGGCGGCGGTGGAGTCGCGCCGGTAGTTGCGCGGCGTGGTCCGCGGCGGCTGCGACGACGAGCAGCGCTGCGGGCGGGGGCGGTGCGCGCAGTTTCAGCAGCCGAGCCCCGGCCTGCCCAGTGGTCTCGAGCAAAAGACGACGGGGGGGGGCTGAGGGGCCCCGCGGCGGCGCGGGGGCGGGCGCAGGGGGGGCGACCCGGCGCCGAGGCGCAGCGCCGCGAGTGGCCCGTGCGAGAGCGAGCTGGGGGGCCAGGGGAGGGCCGGCACCCCCGATGGGCGCTCGTGGGGCGGTATGATGCACGAGGCCGGGGCGGCCGCAATGCGTGGCCGCGGCTGGGGGGGGGCAGTGGCGGACAGTCGCGGCGCAGGGTGTGGGAATCGGAGGGGAGCGACTGGCAGTCGCAGTGGGCGCAAGCTGTGGGTGCGGGGGCAAGGGGGGCGGGCGCGACTAACGATCGCGAAGTGCGCGTGGGCAAAGCTAAGTCAGACTGGGAAGTCAGCGTGTGTGGGATGCCGCTGCAGCAGCGTAGCTAGCAATGCGGGTCCCTCCAGCCAGGGCGAGGGGTGCGCCTGAGACCCCGGGGCGGCGCCCAGGGCGGGCCGAGGGGGTCGGCGCTGCGCCGGAGGGCGAGAGGCCGCGAAGGGAGTCCCAGGAGCAAGGGTCTCCTGGGGGCCAGGGGCGAGCCAGCATCCCCAGCTGGGCGCGCCCGAGGCGGTGTGAGGGGCGAAGCCTGGGTGGCCCGCGGGGGGGGGGGCGCCCCGTGGGGTTGGCGCAGGCGGGAGGTGGGCGAGTCATGAGACGCCCGGGCCTGACTTCATCGTTAGGTGGCACGCATTGGCTGGCGCCCGTTGGGTGACAGCGGCGACTGCAGAGCGATGAGGCAGGCACCTCCGCCGGGGCAGTCGGAGACGTGCCAAGGGAAGGTCCCGCTGTCGCAGATGGGGCCCTGTGAGGGCAGAGGTGCGTGGGAGGGGGCCTACGGGAGGGGGCCTACTGTTACGCCCGGGGCTGGCGGGAGCTTTCGGCCCGCCTGGGGCCCCCTTGGCCTGCCCGGCGATTGGCGCCGTCGCCCCATCGCCCTTTGCCTTTGCGTTTGGTCGGGGCACCATTGCCCTTGGCGCGGCTGGCGAATTTGTCGCGGACAGCGGGCCAGTTGACCTGGAGCTGCAATGCCTCGTCCATCCCCACTGGGCGGCAGTTGTGCTGATGCCGCGCCCGGAGGATATCCTCGCAGGGCCCGGGGTCCTGCTTGGTGGTGTCTGCGCAGGGGTAGCCATTCTTGGCGGGGTGCTCGTGCGCCCACTGGTGCCAAATCCCGCTGAAGCAGTCCCCGAGCTCCTTCTGTAGGCGTTTCACAGTGTCGGCATGGTCCTCGTCGCGGAGGGGGGGGGGGCTGAACCTGTTCTAGCAGGGTCCTGTGCATGTGCTGGCCTGTGTGTGGGGGTCGTGTAGGTCCCGTCCCGCGAGGGGGCCGACCGTGCGTCTGCGTAAGGGGGGCCAGGGGGCCGACCGAGCGTCTGCGTAAGGGGCCGCCCGCGCGTGTGGGGTGCGACTTATCCGCGCGTCGGAAGCCCGGCTGGGCCAGCCAGTCCACCCAGTCTAACTGCCGCTGTAGGGCTCGCTCAGGGTGGACTCGCACTGGCGCCATGAACGGTGCTCGCCCCGCCGCTCGCCCCGGCTGCCCACGTCCCGCGTGGCTCTGTCGGCCTGGGGCTTCCCCGGGGGGTGGCGCCCGGGAGAGGGTGGGGCCCCGTGGTCGGCGGGGCCGCCCACGCCCTCGTCATCCGTCACGCGCGGCGTGGGACTTTCCCCTGGGTCGTCCGCTGGTGAGGCGGGGCTGCAGAAGCTGGAGTCCACTGCGGGGCTGCGGGTGGCACCTCTGGGCGGGGTGGGTGGATCCGAGCTAGGGGAAAGGGCCAGGGCAACCGCGGCTTCCCTTCTTGCCGCGGAGGCGGGGGGCGGCCTCAGCCTCATGGGTCTCGGCCGCGGAGGTGTCGGAGACGGCGTCGCCGTGCGCTGCCGGTGCGGCTCTGCTGTCGGTGGGTGAAGGCCCCGATGCGATGGCCCTGCGTGGGGGCGAGGTGCACCGGGACAGCGCCTTGGCAGCGGGGCCTTCGTCGCGCGGGCTGCGCCGTGCCGAGCGATTTCCCGTCGAGGAGGGGCTGGGCCTGGCTGACTGGGGCGGGCTGTTCCCGCGCCGCGTGAGCGGCGAGCGGGGGCGTGCTGAAGGGGCCCAGTCAGGCGGATCCGAGGAGGGGCCTGTGAAAGTGCGGAACTCGGCGGGTGGGGGGCGACTGCTGAATTGTTGCCACCATTCGTTCGCACTTTGCTCCTTGGTCGGGGCAGCGCCCAACTGTCTGCATATGTCCTTGGTTTCTTCAGAAGGGCAGTCCTTGGCCAGTTCGCAGAGCGTCCCTGTGGCGAGCAAGTCGGCGTCGACTTGGCTCAGGAACCCCACGAGCGCATCCATTGTGTGCCAGATACTTTTTCGGTCGCGAGCGCGCAGGAGAAAGCCAGGCGCCGTCAAGAAACGCGGCTAACGAACAGCGGACTAAATTCCGCACGTGCGCGCACAGGAGCCAGCTACGCTGCGGCACAAGCGAATTGTGCCGGATACGCGAAGCGTCTAGAAAATATTTTGGCTCACCAGCGTTGGATGACATGCAATGGCGATCCCCAGGGCCGCGCGAGCCCAAGTGGGGGTGCCCGACGTGCAACAATAACGAAATATTTGTCCGCCGTATCAGGTGCCAATGTGGACAAGTGGCGCCGCAATCCACCATGGCTCGGGCTCGTCGCAATGCTGGTCTGGCTGGCCCAAGCCCGTCCCCGTCGAGGTGCGTGGGCCCAAAGACCGCCCGTGGACATCGGCAGCCAGCTCACGGCCATGGAAAATCGTATCATGGAGAAGATCGGCAAGTCATTCACAACTACTACGGCTGCCGCGGCCAGTGGTGGGAGTGGGACTGGGGGTGGAATGTGTGCAGGTATTCCCAAAGGCGACAAGGCGAATGGCGATGATCATGATGCCAAGCTGCGTGCTCTAACGCGACAGCTCGAGGAGCCTCTGCAGGCGCCGGAGAAAACTGTTGCTCCCCAGGCTGCTCGAGACTCAATGTGGGGCCGAACTCGCGGCAACCGAAAACGCGATTCAGGAGAGGAAACCAGTCGTGCCTCGCCACACGACCCTCGGGCACACACTGGCTGACGAGCAGCGCAAAGCGGCTCAGCTCAAGCTGGACATCGATGAAAGGGCTTTGGGACACACGAATAATAGACACAAATAACAGGACCCCCATATGTTTTCCCATACTTTCTGGGTTTTTGTCATCCCCCCACTTCCCATATTTTCCCATATTGTCGAAAGAATCGACGATTAATTGTGTCTGTGTGTGTGTGTTTCCCTCCTGAATCGAGGAGCAGGAAAGAAACTGGCCCTCGACGCGCAGCGGGCCCTTTGTGTGGACATGAGAGGAGAGGCGGCGCAACGCAGAGGTGACGACCGATGCCGTCAAGGTGGGGCTGCAGCCGACCACGGACGCTGTGGCACCAACTGGTTTTCAGTCAGGAGGAGGAGGAGGAGGAGGAGGAGGAGGAGGAGGAGGAGGAGGAGGAGGAGGAGGAGGAGGAGGAGGAGGAGGAGGAGGAGGAGGAGGAGGAGGAGGAGGAGGAGGAGGAGGAGGAGGAGGAGGAGGAGGAGGAGGAGGAGGAGGCGGGGGAGGAGGAGGAGGAGAAGGAGGAGGAGGAGGAGGACGAGGAGGAGGAGGAGCAAGAGGAGGAGCAGGAGGAGGAGCAGGAGGAGGAACAAGGAGGATCAGTCATTGATCTCGAGCTGCGTGCAAGCAGGTGCTGGAGGCAGGAGGCGCCGCAAAAGGTCGAGGGCCGTGCTGGCCGCGCGGGCCTCTGCACGCACCTCAGGGAGGTCTTGGCGGCGCGAGCGGCAGCGATGCCGCCGCACTCGCAGCCTGCAGCAGCAGGAGCTCAACAGCGTGGTGCAGGAGCCTCGGCAGGAGGTGAAGCTGTTCCAGCGGGTCCAGATGATGTTGACATGTCGGAGTTGGGTGAAAAGAAACATTCAGCAATTACACCATAGAAAAGCACCAATCGATGGATGGTTTTCGCTGAGGAGATCGATCGGGAACCCGGGAGCCCGGGAACCCAGAACCCACCGAAATCGGCGCGGAACCAACAACCGGGAACCAGGGAACCCGCAACCGGGAACCCGGGAACCCAGCCTGCTACCAAAATCGGCGGGAAACTTTCCCCAAATCTTTCAACTTCCGCTAGGATCCCTTCAATGCAAGCACTGATTGGGGAACTTTTGGCAGCCGCGCGCAACGCAGGTGCTGATCATGCATCAGAGCTTGTGGTTCTACTCACGGCGCTCGGGGTGCGGCCGAAGAAGCAGCGCTTGGGGTGGCGAGTTGTATCATCTTCCAAGGCCCCGAGTCTCGGGTATCCCCTTGACTGCGGCTGGCGTCCCAGCGCCACCGTTGAAGGGGGGGCCCGGAGGCGACCGTCAACTCCGACCCTTTCGTCATCGAAGATTTCAACGGCGCATGTTGGACCATCCTACGTTGTCGTTTCAGAATCTTCGGCTTCGTTGTTCACTGCGCAAGAAGTAAGGATCCGTGGGCAGAATTTTGGGCGGGCTACGGCGTCGGCGCGATCGCTCGGACGACGTGCCCTGATCTCTCCCTCCGTCTTCGACCCAGAGACTCACAAATTGTCGTGCGGTGGCGCGGTCTTTGCGCGCTATCAGTCGGGCTCCGGTGGCCTCTCCTGAGGGGCCGCGTCGACTTGTTGATCGCAAGGTAATGCAAGCCTTGATTTAGGTCGGGCGTGTCCCCCTACAGGCGGATTCTGGACGAAAAATAAAACATAGTCAAACCAACTTCCAAAAATACGCAAAAATAGTCGAACAATCGTTCCCACACTATTTACCATGTAACGCCCCTCACGGGGGTAGAAACCAATTGGACCAAGTGTATTAGCTGGGGCGTCACGCTGTCACCCTGCTCATCCTTTCCTCATCATGCTCGTCCTCCTCCTCATCCTTCTCCTCGTCCTCCTCCTCCTCCTTTGCCTTGTCCTCCTCCTCCTCCTCCTCTTCCTCCTCCTCCACGTCCTCCTCCTCCTCCGCCTCCCCCTCCCTACCTCGGGCGTGATGGACCATGGGACCTCATGGAGCCTCCTGGTAATCCCGGGGGCCTCCTGGGATAGCAACCTCTGGGGACTTCCTGCGGCCTCTTGAAACCTCCTGGGCTCTCCTAGGATATCCTCAGCCCTCCAGGGGCGCCCGCAGCGTTCTGGAACTTTTGGGTCGTTCAGGATACGCCCGGAGCGTGATGGGACCTCCTGGGGCCTTGTGGGACCTCGCGGGGCATCCTGGGACCTCCTGGAGCGTCCTGGAGCCTCCTTAAGATTCCCACGGCCTCCGGGGACGTCCTGAAGCCTCCTGGAGCTTCCTGATGCCTCCTGAGACCTCCTGGGGCCTCTTGGCGGCTCTCTAAGAAGTCACGCGCGGGGCCTCAAAATTGGCGACAGTTTCAAGGATGGGAGCCTTCCCATTGAAAAAAAGGCGCGGTGGACGTTGAAAAATGACGACAGTTACACACTTGAGGCCCAAAAGCGTGCCAGGCGCCCGCCCCCGCCATTCCCGGTCCCGCATAGTAATTACGGTGCGATTTGCTCCCTCCCCGCTGTCCCGCCGGTCCCCCGAAGGGCTAGTTTTCTGGTTTTCGCTGGTAAGAAACACTTCCCCCCCCCTCTCGGCGGTGACAACAGGCAGGCGGAGGGGATCGGCTGGTTGGCGGGATGACGGGGTGGGCGGCTGGGCTGGTTGGCTGACGGGTTGGCTAGGTGGCGGGGTGGCTGGGTGGGCTGGCTGGCTGGTTGGGCGGGTTGGCAGGTTGAGCTGGCTAGGGCAATTGGTTTCGATTAACTATTTTTGAATGTTCCTCCTGTAGAGGGACAGGCCCGACTGAAGTCTGGACTGATTTCCCTGGGTCGCCTATGTTTTCCCCTCTGTTCCGCCCGCCTCAGGACGGCGCTGTGGGCCTCGGCGAGGTCAGGCCGAATATCCTGGCCGAGACAGGCAAGGCGGTGTGCACGACCCACACCGCGCTTGTGGGGGGGTGTTCGGTGGCAACTCATGGGAGCCTCCCGCGCCATCTCGTCGGCTCTTGCGACCCGACTTTGAATCGACGCTGATCGACGCTGCCCGACGCTGAATCGGCGCTGCCTCATCGACTGTAGAAACCGATCGACGCTGAGGACGGAATTGAGAGGGCATACCAGGCTCCCACGATTTGCTACCCAAGGGCTGGAATATGTCGCCATCGGTTCTTGAGGGCTCGGGGTGTCTCGCATGTTAGGCATGCTGGTCATGGCGCCTCTTGGGCATCCTTGCGAGCCCTTAACGCGATCGATTCCTCCCAATCGCGGGCCCTGGGGCTTCCAGATTCATGGAAGGTCTCACCGTAGATATCTATCGGGATATCAAGCCGCACCGGTCAGCTCAAGTCATGGTGCGGTCGGACGCTCTAATTTTGCGGCAGACACTGCGTCGTACTTGCCAGAGCTTTCCAATGGATTTTCCTCTTGGTCCACGACATCGCCCTGCAAATTGGCAAAGCGTACTTGCGCATGCTGCTCAGGCACCCATGCGATCAGTCCTTGACTCAGCACGCTCGGCGTGGCAGGCACTCAACAGTGCGTGGGCCCACTTCGTAGACGCGGCCGAACTGGAGCTGAGTCAGAGGCTTGGAGTCTATGTTGCCGAGTTAGGGAAGAACCGGGACCATGAAGGCTTCGCGGGTTTCAGCTTTCATCGGCCGAGGTGCCCAGTAGATGAGCTCCAGGTAGTCGCGAGCTGGAAGTGGCTCTACCAATCTTTCCAGGTTTTTTGCAAATATCTACATATATTTTTATATATATATATATAGATGTCAAAATCACGAACCTAGAGGAGTCTGCCGCCGTGCGCAAGCAGCTGCAAATTTCGCCCCAGAGCTCTTGTCCTGGAGTGGGCCTCTCGGTCGGGCTTGGCGCCCCACCGCGCCCGATGCGCGGCCTTGTGGGGCGTCTGCAGAAACGGGGAGGCGCCCGTCCGCGAGAGCGGCCATAGCTAGCTACAAATGTTTTGGAGGATATCCGGGAGGCCTGGGATCAGGTTAGCCTTGATGGGGCTCGCAGTCAACGGGAATCTTGGGATGAGTGGCAAGAGAAGGCTATGGCAGGCTGCGGTGGGATCATGTGCAAGTTTACCAACATGAAAAAGAGTGGGCAACCTGCGGTCGTCCAGAAGGCCCCGGGTATCTTCGCGACTGGCCCCCGGGGCCTGCTGGAGAGAGAGGCTCGCCAGCTAGTTGTTCTCTGGAGAGCAAACGCTTGCACGCCTGAGGCTTCGGCTCCCGACAGAAAGAATTCCCCGGGGGCCTCCGACGAATAAGTGCGAACAACCCCAAAAACTTTAGTCGTTCTAGCGCCCAGCGCTTTGATGGGGCTCATCCGCGATATGCTGCAATTTCAACTTGCAAAAGGCAAGAGATTCTCGCCGTCCTCTCCTAGGTCGTGGAGCGCCCGGCTTCTTCCGTGCCCAGCTGCTGTGGACGCTGATGCCGCTCCTCCTGGGGTCTTCTGTTCAGAGGAGGCGGAGGAGGAGGAGGAGGAGGCGGAGGAGGAGGAGGGGGGAGGAGGAGGGGGGGAGGAGGAGGAGGAGGAGGAGGAGGAGGAGGGGAAGAGGAGGGGGAGATGGAGGAGGAGGTGGAGGAGGAGGGAGGGGAGGGAGGAGGAGGAGGAGGAGGAGGAGGAGGAGGAGGAGGAGGGGGAGGGGAAGGAGGAGGAGGAGGAGGAGAAGGAGGAGGAGGAGGAGGAGGAGGAGGAGGAGGAGGAGGAGGAGAGGGCCCAGCGGCCCCACTGGTCCTTCGATGCTGGTTGTAGCGCGGAGGTTTCGGCTTGGCAACGCAGTGTCAGGGCTGAGAGGGCCGCCGCCAAAGGTGAAGGTGCTGCCGGCTTTATCTGGGATGTTATGAAACACGAGGAGTCTCCAGGCTTTCCTGGCTTAGGGATCGGGCTATCTACAAGAGGCTCCCAGTGGCGCTCCTCAAGACACCCTGCAATCTCTGGAGGTCCCCACGTGTTCAGCGATGTCTTTGTGAAGGCTTATGCTATGTTTCAGTTTGTACTGTTTTCGGTCAGGAGCCCTGGCATATACCTTGGCTCGCGCGTAGATGACGACGCGGAATCCGCCCACGGTTCCGAGAAGGTCATCCTCCTGGCCCCCGCCCAGGGAGCCGGGGGCTCAAGCAAATGTTTGACGATATTTCGAACTTATAGGCTTGCTGAGGACAAGGCGGACTCCTTTGCCTCGCTCGAGAAGCGGGCCGCCAAGTTGCACAAACGAATGATGCCGACGTGCCGGTCTACCGCTGCGAACGCTGCAGTTTTTCTCGGAGTTGGCACCTGGTCAAATCCAGTGCGCGACGGGCTGGGGCTCGAAGGGGGCAGCGCTTTCGCGATACGGGGGTGCGGCACAAGGTCATTTAGCACTGCAAAACGAACTTGCCCAGGGGCCGCACTCGCACGAACGAGATCTACATCGCATGGTTTTGGGAGCATGGTTTTGGGAGTCTCGGACAAGGGATGGTCTGAGCTTAAGTCGGTTCTCTTGTCCTGGGGGGAACGCCGGCCCACAGTGGGGCCTCTCGTGCAGCTGAATGCGCGCTCTATGGGGGCCCAGCGGGGAGGCGAGCGGTTGCGCCGAGCCTCCGATGGACCAGTAGGTGAGCGTTTTTTGTTCGGCGTTTCGACATTGGGCGGAAAGGGGGGGGAGGGGGGCGTCTGGCTTCGGACCTCTGCTTAGTGCGACTGCTTGCAGCTGTGCGTCCTATGGGGGAACACTCCACCTGCTCGAAACAGCCGCCAGACACAGCCAAGCTCTACTCCAGGGGGGGGAGGTGCGAGGTGGGGGGGTGCGAGGGCCCGCGCCGATCGGCAGAACAATGAATAACAAAAGCGACCACTAGTTTGTACCAGGGCATCGTGTGCCAGATCACCGTTTCTCCCAGGGCAAGTTTTTCACTCCTCCTCCTTCTCCTCCTTCTCCTCCTCCTCCCTTCTCCTCCTCTTCCTTCTCCTCCTCCTCCTCCTCCTCCTCCTCCCTCTTTCTCCTCCTCCTCCTTCTCCTCCTCCTCCTCCTCCCTCTTTCTCCTCCTCCTCCTCCTTCTTCTCCTCCTCCTCCTCCACCTCCTCCTCCTCTTTCAAAAATGGGGTCAAGATGTGACGAGAGGATGTCTCTCGGACGCCCTGCCCGAGTGAGGGATCTTGCGCGCACTGGAGAGGAGCGTCTAAGGAGCCCGCGCCCACAGAGTGATGCTTCCCCCTTCGCTGTGTCAAGTGGCGCGCAGATATAGCTTTAGGTCGGGCCTGTCCCCCCGCAGGCTGCTTTTGTGCGAAAAGCCAGAAATACCAACACATAATCAACAACTAATCCGAAATGGTCAAACTATCGTCCCCTGACTATATGTACAGTTTTTTGGTTGTTGTTGAATGTACCTCCTGTAGAGGGACACGCCCGACTTAAACATAGCTTTGCGCTCTGGAAATGTGATGGAGGCTTCGTCGTGGATCTCGCGTGCACTTCCCCTGCTCCAGTGGCCAAGCTTAAAAGAAACGGGGGTTCAGAGGTCCCCTGGGCGCAGGTTTGCCGCGCGCCTGCCAGACTTCCCGCGGCGTCGGGTCTGTGCGGGCCCGCGGGCCCAAATTCATAGGTTCAGGGAACCGCGGCTCGGCAAGCATACTGGATGGCAATGCGTTTGTTTCAGGAGCCGTGCCGACGGGATACAGGCCGAGAGAGTGTGCGCGCGTGCGCGATGGTGCGTGCGTGTGTGCGACCTCTGCGTGGCCAGCCTGACTCCTGATTCCACCGGCAGTGGCTTTGCAGGGCGCAAGAGGCGGCGCAGACGCGAATCGAATGTGTAGGCCAGGGGATGGTCGATGAAGCTATTGCTGCCAGTCCCGAGGAAACCATGTTTTGGCCTGGGCTGATCCTCCCCCTGCCTGACCTCCCTCCTCCCTCGTGGCAACTCGACCCCATCCTCCAGGATGCGGAGGTGACAGAGATCCGCCTAGATGAATTTTGCCATTTTCTCGAGGGATGCGATGTGATGGCGGACGGATCGGCCACCTAACACGCTTTTATGGAAACCAACCGCGAATCCTATGCCGCTGTTTTTCTCGAGCCAGGTGGCGCGAGAATGCTATTCGTGCGAGGCCCGTGGAAATTGTGAGCCCCGCGTTGCTTCAGACTCCCCAGTCAGCCGAGCACCTGGGCCTAGCCACCCTGGCCAATCTCATGGACGGTACCCCCAACGCCCCGTTCAGTGATTGACTAGGTGCCGTGCGGCTGCACAACTTGTCTCGATGCGAGCAACTCGACCCGAAGCACATGTTCGCTGGGCTCCGTAAAGTGGCTCTGGAGAAGGATCCTGGAGGCCTGCTGGGACCCGCGACTCACACCCCAGCTCACAGGTGGTCATCGAAGCTTTGCCACTGTTGGAGCGTAGGATTGCCAGAGGCAACCAAGACGCCGACAGGCTCGCCAAGTTTGTTCTTAGTCTACGTCCTGTGGCCTCTTTCGACGAGTCTCAGGCCCTGGACGCTTGCGTTACAAAAGTCCGCAAACTAGTGAAGACGTTCGCCGCTGTCCTCCCGTGTTACCCCGAACTCGAGTTTCGTCGCCTGCCCAGGGGACTCCGACTTTTACTGATCAGAGATACGACTTGGCACGGCTGGCGTGAGATCGACCCTGGGGTGGCCTGGAGGTGTGCTACATGTTTCCAGATTAAACTTGGAGCTGGACGACAGATGCTCGGGTGCAAATGCCTCTGCAAGGCCCTGGGTAAGGTCAGCGGGGTTGAGAGCAGAGGCCATCAGCTCGCTGTTTCACGAATTGGTGGCCGTCATGAGACAACCCAGATCTTCTGCTATATATTTATATACGCGGGGCATATTCGAGTCATCGGTGTGTTTTGTTGGCGAATGCTTGTGCGCTCAAGAAGGGTAATCATGGTGCTCAGACCGTTCATTGCATAAGGCAAGGGCTCCATCCGTACTATCACAATGTTATTCATGTGTCGGAGTCCTGCAGGTCATCAGCCAATTTTTCCCTCCAGGCCGCCATCTCCTCAGATGCGGAAGATATGGCCTCACGCTCGCGCCTCGTCTCGACACCAGCGATGTTGGCACTTGCGGCACGCATCAAGGCGTGCGAGGAGGCGTCCACACCAGCTCCAGTGTAAGGTGGCATGTTGCGTTCTGCCTTGGGCTTCCCGGGGACAAATCGCCCTCCACGACCTCCTCCCTCTCCTCCTCCTCCTCCACCTCCTCCTCCTCTTCCTCCTCCTCCTCCTCCTCCTCCTACTCTTCCTCCTCCTCTTCTTCTTCCTCCTCCTCCTCCTCTCCCCCGCCGCCTCCTGCTGCTCCTTCCGGTACCCGCCTCCTCCCCCCCGCCCCCGCCAGCTGCGCTCGCCCATCGGAGGCAGAGGGGAGAGAGTCGTTCAAAACTCGGGCCCGCCGTCGTTGAACGTCAGGCCATGTCAGCTACGCCGCCTGCAGGGGGAGGGGGGGGGCGTAAGACGAGGGCAGGAGTAGGCGCAGCTCTATGGGGAACGGCAAATGGGAAAGGGGAGCAACGATCACCTTTCGTGCCCCTTCTGGGTCCCATGGGGGCCTTGGTAGGGTCCGTTTAGGGCGCGAGAGGTGCACTTTTCTTCACCCCTCCCACTTTTCGCTCTTCATTGCGCCACGCTGGACAAAACTGTGACAAAATCGGTACCGGGACAATCGGGGATCTCCGAACTCCGGCGGCTCTGGAACATGTAACTATCGGGCGCCGCGGCCCTGCCAAAGTGCTCCAGACCGCTCTGAGAGCGTTCCGGAAAACTCTGGAACGACTTATTCTGGTCTTAGCTCCGCCCAAGGAGGAGGAAGAGGAGGAGGAGGAGGAGGAGGAGGAGGAGGAAGAGGAGGAGGAAAAGGAGGAGGAGGAGAAGGAGGGGGAGGGGAAAAGGAGGATAAGGAGGAGGGGAGGAGGAGAAGGAGGAGAAGGAGGAGGAGGAGGAGGAGGAGGAGGAGGAGGAGGAGAGGAGAGGAGGAGGAGGAGAGAGAGAGAGAGAGAGGAGAGAGAGAGAGAGAGAAGAGAGAGAGAGGAGGAGGAGGAGGAGGAGGAGGCGGAGGAGGAGGAGGAGAGGAGGAGGAGGAGGAGGAGGAGGAGGAGGAGGAGGAGGAGGAAGAGGAGGAGGAGGAGGAGGAGGAGGAGGAGGAGGAGGAGGAGGAGGAGGAGGAGGAGGAGCGGGAGGAGGAGGAGGAGGAGGAGGAGGAGGAGGAGAGGAGGAGGAGGAGAGAGAAATGGAGGAGGGGGCGAAGAGGAGGAGGAGGAGGTGGAGGAGGAGGAGGAGGAGAAAGAGGAGGAGGAGGAGGAGAAGGATGAGGAGGAGGAGAAGGAGGAGAAGGAGGAGGAGGAGAGAGAGGGATGCTGACGATGATGATGATGATGCTGCTGATGATGCTGATGATGATGATGATTATGATGATGAGGATGAGGAGGAGGCGGAGGGGGAGCAGGAGGAGGAGGAGGAGGAGAAGGATGCTCCATTTTTCCTCAGGCCAGGCTATTCTCGCTGCGGCTGCGGCCGGGCTTGTCTGGCAGCAGCAGAGAGACAAAAGAAAAGGACCAGCTGGGCCACCTTGCCTCTAGCAGCTGCCACGCTTGCGGAAGTGCGAGAGCACTCTGAGAGAGGCGCGAAGTGGAGTGGTTGGGCTCGAAAACCGCTTGAGCACAGACAGTTGCGGCCAGCACGGAGACATTCATAATTGCACACTGTTACACGCTGCTACATGCTCCATTTCTCCTCAGGCCAGGCTATTCTCGCTGCAGCTGCGGCCGGGCTTGTCTGGCAGCAGCAGAGAGACAAAAGAAAAGGACCAGCTGGGCCACCTTGCCGATATCCGCCAATATCTAGCGACCTGGCGGTTGAGGCGGCCCTTTTCAGCCGAAATTCCCAACAGTGCAAGCACACCGCGGAGACCCAAGCAGCGAAACGCAGTTATCATCACGCCGCGCAACAGGCGAGGGGTCCACATCATTGTCTCGAGGCGTCGACACAAGACGCCCACAAGGAAACTAAGCGAGGAGGGTAAGGCTCTGCGACCAACGTCCAGAGTTTGCCTCCTGGCGCCTTGCCTTCTAAAACCTGATGCCGATCACCAGAATATTTGCAGCGAGGACCATTGCACTCCGCGCGCAGGGGTTCCAGCGCACATGGGCGGCCAGCATTCCAACAGGCAATAGTAGTGGCCTTTCGCCACGGGGTTCCGAATCTGCAGTATACAGTATTCACCAGACAAGCTCTGCGCAACAAAGGGGCCAGCCCCGGCTGCCGCCACAGCCAGGACGACCTGGGGTTCTCCAGGGACACAGGCACGTTAAACTGGACGCAGCATCGAATGATGCGGAATGAAGCCTGGGCCAGACGATTTCCGATCGACACCTTGGCCGCATCCAGAAAGCTCAGGAAGGCCTTCAGGATGCATTTTGGACCTGAGGGGACCCCCGGGACTGCCAAGCTTGCCACGACGTGCTGTAGAAAAACTGCTGCATGGCGTGCCGAGATGCACCCAGCCTGCGCTGGGTATGCATTTCAACGCGCGCCTAATTACTGCTTCTTTTGACAAGTCTTGCTTAGGAGAGTCCCGGATGTCCCAAGTGGCCGATTGCCAGCCTTCGCGAGACATGGCCCGGGAAAGGCCGCGCTTGCCCGAAAACAACTCCAAAAACAGGGGCCTCACACGAGGCCTGCGTCTTGGCGCCTGCTCTCGAACCTGCCGACGTGCCCGAACCTGAGCCCTGCCTCGAGGTTGTTGGCCGACTCGGCCAACAGCAGCTGGCAATCTCGCGGCAGTGTCGCCAGGCGCCGCATTACCCGCGAGCTCTTCTCGTACCTCCGAACACTCATGTCGGAGATCCACCTTCCGCGCCGTTTGATGCCGTCCAGGGACCGAGCCTTGGTCAGCCGGTCGTGTGACGGGCCTGCATGTCTGAGGATGTACGGCGTGAGTTCCCAAGCCTCCAGGCCGACGTCGGCCGCGGCGCGCTTGAACATGGCAGTGAAAGCCGCGGCCGACCACGGAAAGAGGAGCTCCGCCGAGAAGCCCTTCTGCTTCGCCAGCCGCTCCACCAGCGCGCCCAGGTAGGGCCTCGACACGCTGTCCAGAAGGATCGAGTCGTTGAAGCCTCTCGTCTTGGTCGGCTGCAGCTCCTCCTCTGGCCTCAACACCAGCGACGCGAAGCGGTAGTCGCCCCCGGTCGTCGCCTGGGCTGGGACCACATGGTTGGCCCGGAGCGACAGCAGCTCGCCTGGCCGAAGGTAGGCGTCTGCCGCCAGCACCACTGCCAGAGCCGCCAGTGGCTGCTTGCACCTGACCAGGGCCAGCGCGATGGCCGCCACGGCGGCCCGCGGCACGGGCGCCCGCGTCACGGGCGGCACCAGACGTCGCCAGCCCTGCAGCGCCTTCGCCACCCTCGGCAGCTTCAGCAACCGCCCGGCATGATGGAGCCTTGGCCAGCGATGGCCCACCGCCGCCAGCAGCTTGGCCCCGCTGTTGCAGGGCTCCCCCTGCGCGAACAGGAGGTCCATGTACTCCGCCAGGGCCTCCTCGAGCAGCAGGTCGGTGTCGAGCGCCAGGCCGTTGGTGCTGCAGAAGCCGAAGAACCGCTCCAGCCTCCGCTACGCTTCGCCGTTACGCTTTCCTGCTCCAGGACGGTCGGCCCACCAGTACCAGCGATCCTCGCTCGAGCCCGGTCCCTCGCCCCAGCCGCCAGAGGCGGGAGGAGGCCTCTCGACCTCGCAGGGGATCGGCGAGACCTCGTCGATGAGCCGCGCAGCCGCCTTGTCGAGGTAACCTGGGCCGCCGCCATTCTGCCATGGCCCGACGACCGCGCTGGGCACCGGGCCGCTCCGACGCTGCAGCTGTCTCTCGGGAGCCGGCTCGCCGGCGGCGGGGGGGGGCCAGGCGCGCCTGCACCGGCCGGCGCGGGAGGCGCTGCTACACGCCTCAGGCACCTCTCCGTGAGCCTCACGCCGGTGGGCTCCCAGCGCAGCTGCAGCCGCCTTCTCAGCAGGCGTGTCGAACCATCGGCTGGGCTCATCGCTGGGGTTCATCAGCTCGCTCGCAATCCATCTCACACAGGTGCGAGAGAAGGTGGCCCGAGAAAGAGCGGCCCACTTTCGGAGCAGAAAGAGTACGGTTACAGACACAGCCCGCCCCTTCTCCAGACTTAGAACCATGCCCATGTTGTCACGCAGAAATAGATGATGCTTATGATGATGTTTAGCTTGCCTGCATTTGCGCCTCCACCCAAATAGCACCGCCCTCAACTCCTTCAGGTGGATTGCCTCCTTCCTGTGATACCTCCTTGCTTGTATAGTCCTCCAATTAACCTCCTCCTTGGTGAGCGATGCTGGTAGCTCAGGGAATTGATGATTGATGCTAATGGCAATGCCGTCGTCGTAGTGATCTCCATTCTCAGCTAAAGCATCGAGTCCATCGAGCGGCAGAGATCCGCCCAACGCCCGCTCCCGAGGCCGGCCGGCCCCCTCGACCTTGAGGCGCCAGCGTTCACTCCAGCGCCCCACCTGCCTGACCTCAGACACCGGGAAGTCAGCCTCCTGCACGGCGTAGCCCCTCAGCGTAGCGTCGGAGCAGGTGACCAACCCTGACCGCGGCATATCGAATTGCACCGCGAGCAGCGGCATGATGTGCATGGCATTCTGCAGCTCCTGCCTCACTGAAGGCCAGAGCAAGCTAGGCGCCCGGTAGTGCTTCCGAGCGTAGTCGTAGGCGGAGCGGAAGATACAAAGCGTTGGGCGGTTCAGCAACATGGCATGCGTGAAGTGGCCGATCAGCTTCTCGACCTCCCTGCCGGCCACTAGCCGCCGCCGCCTCAAAAGCGCACGCGTGCCTTGCACCAGCCGCCACCTCTTGGAGGAGGCCAGGCGGCACCGAAGCTAGATGCCGTCCAGCTCCAGGCCCAGCGCTTCGACAACATGCTTGCCCTCCTCCACCTCATGCAGCGGCAGCCCGATGTTGGACATCTTCTTGGCCGCCAGTCGCCTGGCGTCGGCAGAGGCACCTGGGCGAGACGAGACGAAGACCTCGTTATCCACGTAAACGATGCGGGGGACAGGCGCTGCCGAGGCCGACGGGGGCACCTGGCGGTCCACCAGCTCGCTCTCGATGCCCCCAAGCCCTGCCCGGCGCAGCAACTCTCGATGAGCCTGCTGCGTCCATCTCATGGCCCACGAGAAGCCCATGGGCAGCATCCGCAGACAGGGGTAGACCCAGGCGCCTGTAAGGACCGGCTCGCCCTGCACGGTCTTGGCCCCCACCTCGCCAGCCCTGACGGGCTTCGCCCCGAACCGCTGCACCATGTAGTCCAACACTTTGAACTGGTAGAAGCAATCAGCAATGTCCTGAATCGAGAACTCTAGCATGTCCCCAGGCTCCGCTTCCAGCCCGACCATCGCCGCGGTCGACGCCAGCTGGATTGAAGTGGGCCGCCTGAGGTTCTGATTGACGGACCTGGCGTCCACTATCAGGCGCAACTTGCCTGACTTCTTGCGCGCGAAAAATATCCCAACCTCAAAATCACGGCGAGTACGGAGCTCCACCATGCCCCTGTTCAGCAGGTCCTGTACGAACCTGACGTGCTCGCCTCTGTCCGCCTTGAGCGTCTTGTCCCAGTAGACCTTGCAGGTCGCTGGCGGCTCCTCCTCAGCCCGAAGCAAAAGCGCACGGGGACCGTCGATCACCTCCTGGCGGTCAGGGTCTGGCAACACGTCCAGCAAGTTCACCGAGCCTGCGGTGTCCGGCCACGAGACCAAGCCGCGATCATACGGTGCAACCGCGGAGAGGTCCTCAGACGCGTAGTCGAGGGCCTCGGTACCGAGCAACTCCTGAAGGGCTGCCTCGGGGGCGGGCAAGGGGTCCGGCGGCAGGTCATCGGTGACCGCGCGCAGGATGCCGTCAAGCGCCGAGAACTGTGCCTGAGAGGGTCTTCCTCCAGGCAAAAACGAGCCGTCCCCATGCGGGTTGTTGAGGGCGGCGATGCAGTCGTTCGAGCGTCGGCCGATGGCCGCCTTCCTGCCCAGACGTTGGGCAGCACGGCGAGGACCTCGGCGCTGTTCAGGAGAGCTGTAGGTCACCTCGGGCAAGGGGAACAGGTCCCGCGGCACTGCCCTCTCCATGATACGGCCTGAATCTGCGACCCGGGACGGCCAGCCCCCGGATCTTGGGTCCATCATGACTTCTTTGGAGCGCGCGCAAGCGCACGCTCCTCGGCGGCCTTCCTCTCCTCCTTCAAGATGGACGAATCACGGGCCGCCGACTCGGCCACCCACTTCTGAAGCTCCGGGGCCATCAGCGCGCCGCCGGTGCGCCGCGTCCTGCCCAGGTAGTAGTCCTGCAGGTCGAAGTCCTTCCCGGCCTCCCGCTTCTTCTTGATGCGCTGCTCGATGTGCTGGATGTGGCGGCACAGGCTCTCCATGCTCGCCAAGTTCGACACGTCGAGCTGGTCGAACGTCGTCGCCAGCTCAAGGATCTCCGAAAGCATCTCGTGCGTCACCGCATTGTGCTCGTCATCCTGCAGCTTGTTCTCGTGCTTCCAGGTCGAGTGACGCTGGAGGGGACCCGCCGCCTGCTTAGCTATCTCCTTCACCAGGTACAATGCCGTACGCGGCCCCTCCAGCACCCAGTCGTCGAAGGCACACATCTCCGAACTGTTCGCCACACTCTTCATGTCCCTGAAGCGCCGTCCCGCGCTGTCGCGCAGCACAGGCAAGGTGCGGGCGTCCTCGGCGCTGGATACTCCTGGCGCTCGCACCGGGGGAGTGTCCGTGCCCTCGACGTCGCCGTCCTTCTTCGTCAAGCGCCTGAAGTGCTCGATCATCTCAACCTCCTGCTCCCCCACTTCCACGCGGTAGAGCACCGCGGGATCACCTCGCAGGCCCATGTCATACAGGCCCACCGAGCCGCAGCTCACGAAGCTGTCCGATGGTGTGTGGTGCTGCGCCGCAAGCATGAAGGTGTTGCCAACACTCACCTGTGCCGACCGCGCCACACACACCCACTTGAAGAGCTCCGAGCTTGACCCAGCAGGAGGCGAACCCGCCAAGGGAGGCAGGGGGGGAGCCCCGCTCGCGCCGGCTCCCGCCGACGCTGGTGGCGGCTCCGGCTCGTCCTCCAGAATGCCCATCGTGCGCCTCTCCTCGGCCGCCTTGGCGCGGCCCTCCTCGAACAAGTCCTGCAGCTCCTGCCCGACCGGCCTCGACGAGAAGCGGTACACGGGCTGGCCGCGCGCCGCGCCCAGCCCAGGGGGAAGCCCCCCTCGGGGGCCCCCCTCCCTGAAGTCCTGGAGGTACTCCAGGCTGATGGTCTCCGCGTAAATGTCCCCATCTGTGGTCAAGATGATGTAACAGCAGTGGTCTACGACCGCGAGGATCAGGCGCTCATGCCAGGGTTCCTCGTCCACCCCGTAGTTGACGAAGACCACGTCCCCGGGCTTCAGCCCCACCAATGACCTTCGCTTTCTCGGAGCCGCGCGCATCTTGTCGGTCCTGCACCAAGGGGGCAAGAACCTCCTGAGGGCCCGGCTGTCTGAGCACGGAAGCGCCCGTCAGCACCAGCCTGCAGGTCACGTAGCAAGAGCAGCACAAGGCCTGCGCCGCCAGCACCAGCAGTGCGCCCAACGCGAAGGCCAGGCCGGCTGCCGTCACGGACAGCCCGAGGGGTACAGGAGCTCCCCAGATGTCCTGCGCGCCCAGGCAGGCGTGGGCGGCGCTCGAGAGCCCCAAGGCGCAGGGGCTGACGCCGAACGCCTCCTTGACGCCACTTATGAAGCTGGGCGCCGGGGCAGGGGACTTGTCGGCAGAAAAGGCCCAGCCGAAATCTCCCATCCGCCGCCTCGAAAACCGCTTGAGCACAGACAGTTGCGGCCAGCACGGAGACATTCAGCATTGCACACTGTTACACGTTGCTACAGGAGGAGGAGGAGGAGGAGGAGGAGGAGGAGGACGAGGAGGAGGAGGAGGAGGAGGAGGAGGAGGAGGAGGAGGGGGAAGAGGAGGAGGAGGAGGAGGAGGAGGAGGAGGAGGGGGAGGCGGAGGAGGAGGAGGGGGAGGCGGAGGAGGAAGGAGGAGGAGGAGGAGGTGGAGGAGGAGGAGGAGAGGAGAGAGAGAGGGAGAGAGTGAGAGAGAGAGAGAGAGAGAGAGAGAGAGGAGGAGGAGGAGGGAGGAGGAGGAGGAGGAGGAGGAGGAGGAGGAGGAAGAGGAGGAGGAGGAGGAGGAGGAGGAGGAGGAGGAGGAGGAGGAGGAGGAGGAGGAGGAGGACGAGGGAGAGGGAGGAGGGGGATGAGGAGAAGGAGGAGGAGGAGGAGGAGGAGGAGGAGGAGGAGGAGGAGGAGGGTGGAGGGACGGCGCGGGGATCGAGGGTCGAGGCGCGGAACGCCGAGGGGCATCGGCGATGAAGGTCTTTGGAAGCGTCCGGTCCTCGTTGAGACTCAGGGGCCTCTCGGAGCATCTGGGGACCTCTGAGGGTGTCCTTGAGAGCTCCATAGACCTCTGGGTGGCGGAGCTCCTCAGCTGCCCTCTGGTCTTCTGAGAAATCACCTGTGCCTTCTGAGAAGGCCCGCCTCCTCTGCTTTACCCCGTAGGCGCGAGGCCGACATGGGTAGTGGACTGCCCCAGCTCAGCGCAAGCCCGGCTCAAACAGTCAAAAAAGAACTGCGCCGCAGCTTCTTTGGGGGGCTACCCGAGCGTAGCTCAACCAAGATGTAAAGCCACCTCTGGGGCCGCGAACGGCTACCATCCCCGGCTCAGCCCGAACCCGGCTTTGCAAGATCCTGCAACATCTGGCGCTCTGGCCGAGCTCCGTTTGCGCTGAACCCCGCTGCCTGCCGGCTGACCATGGAGGTTCGCCTACACGCAGGAGTGACCCTGGGCAGGAGTGACCTTTCGTGCGCGGCTCTAGGGGGACGCGCGGGGGGCCAAATCCGTAGTGCTGGGGGGACCGCTGTGGGCCCACACCAGAGGTCACTCCGGCGAAGGGCCACTCTTTCGAGCAGCCGAGGGGCCTGTTGTCAAAAGCGCGCTCCACTACTCGCCGAATGACAGCTCGCTGATGGCCCGGATCCGCAGCGGGGGCATGGATACCCATTTCATCGAGACTTCCAGGATTTGTTTTCTGACGTTTGCGAGTCAGCAGCGCTCCCAGACCCCCGACGTCATGATTTTTTCATTACGTCGACCCCCCGAGGTCTCGACCTATTCCCCGGCGCAGGTTTTTCATCCCGGGCCGTTTTTGACGGCCCCGAGGCCCGGTAAGGCCCCCCAGGGACTGAAACTGGCGAAAAACCTCCCGTCATGATTCCCTACCTAGGCTCTCTGCCTAGAGGGTTCTTACTCGCTGGGCTTAGGGGGGCCGGGCAGTGTTCCTCGCCCCGGGCGGTTCCCCCGGTCCCCGCCCCGCGGTTCCCCCAGTTGCGCCCCCTTAGCTTAGCTTTGCGTATCTCATCTTAGCTTAGCTTAGCTTAGCTTAGCTTAGCTTAGCTTCATCTTAGCTTCGCGTCGCTGTAGCTTAGCTTAGCTTAGCTCGGTTTAGCTTAGCTTAGCGCAGCATTCACATCACATAGCATCGCATATCATATCATAACATAGCGCATCATAACATAGCACACCATAGCATTTCATATAATATCATAGCATAGCGCAGCATAGCATATCATATCATAACATAGCTTAGCATAGCACAGCGCAGCATAGCATAGCATAACCTAGCGCAGCATTCGCATAGCATAGCATAGCATAGCATAGCATAGCATAGCATGTCCGGTAGGTGTAGATGTAGATGTAGATGTGAGTGTAGTTGTAGATGTTGATGTAGATGTAGATGCATGTGTACATGTATATGTAGCTGTAGTTGTAGATGTGGACGTAGGTCTAGATGTAGATGTAGGTATTAAACCGTACTACTACTACTACGACTACTACTACTACTACTACTACTACTACTACTACTATTACTACTACTACTACTACTACTACTACTACTACTACTACTACTACTACTACTACTACTACTACTACTACTACTACTACTACTACTACGACTACTACCGCTACTGCTACAACTGCGACGATGAGGAGATGGAGGAGGACGGCGTTTACTGTTACTACTAATATTGCTCTCCTCGGGGCTCCAACTCCTAGGTAGGGTCGCTCTGGGATAAATTTTTCATTGCTCGAGGGGGTCTGGGCTCTGCGAGTCTCAGAACGCGTCCCGTGAAGGTTTCCCTCTGGGCCTCCGTCGCCGGCGTCGCTCCCGGCGAGCGGGGTCGCGGCTGGGCCGCCTCGGCCCAGGAGGGGCTCGGAGCCGCCGCGGCCGATCGCGAGCGAGCGGGCGGCGTCGGATCGGCAGCTGTCGTCCGCGGCGACCTGGGGCGGGCTGCCTACCAGGCCACCCCAACCCAACCCCGAAGACCCGAATTTGACCCGCATTGCGGGTTTTTTGGGGGGGGTAACGGCCTCGGAACAAAAATTTGCCGGCCCCACGGGCCAGAGGCGTGCTAAGATCTCCGGCAGCTGGTGAACTGTATTTCTAGTTCGCGCGCGCGGAGCGGCCTCTGGGGGCCCCTGGATCAAGAGTACCCCGAGAGGAGCCCGAGAGGGTCCCCGGAGCAGCCCGGGAGGGCCCTGGGAGACTCCCCCGGGGCCCTCAGGAGCGCGCCAAGAGTGCCCCAAGAGGCCCCCAATGACTGCCCAAAGGGCCCCCCGAGGCGCCCAAAGAGCGCGCCAAGACGCCGATGACGACCCCAAGACGGCCCAAGAGGCCTCCAAGTGGCCTCCAAGAGGCCTCACAAGAGGGCCCCGAGAGGCCAAAATCATAAATTTTACGATGGTTTTGGAAGGATTCGGGCCTTGTCCCCATTTCGGCCATCCGATGCTCCAAGACGGCCCAAGAGGCCCCCAAGAGCGCCCCAAGACGGGCCAAGAGGCTTCCAAGAGGGCCCCAAGAGGGCCTAAGAGGGCACCGAGACGGCCCACGAGGCGCCCAAGACGGCCCCAAGACGGCCCCAAGAGGGGCCCAAGAGGGGGACCACGAACCGAAACCTCGCGCCTTCCGCCCGAAGAGGGCCCCAGGAGGCCCCGAGAGGCCCCCAAGAGGCCCCAAGATGCCGCCAAGAGGCCCCCAAGAGGCCCCAGGAGGCCCCCAGGAGGCTCCCCAGAAGGCTTCAAAAATGCCTCCCAGGCGCCCCCGAACGGCTTCTCAAAAGACCCCAAGAGGCCTCCCAAAGAAGCATCTTGACGACGACCCTGTTTGGCCCCAAGAGCAACACAAGATGCCAACGAGAGGCTTCCTCCTCCGCCCTTCCTCTTCCTCCTCCTCCTCCTCCTACATATTTTCATCCTCCTCCTCTCCTTCTCATCCTCTCCTCCTCCTCCCCTCCCCTTCCCCATCCTCATCCTCTTCCTCCTCGGCGGCGCCACAATGGCCCCAGGCCCACGGCGAAGCAGTAGCGATCATAGCATATAGCGAACACTGGTACCACATTCATCTGTGAACGCCTCCCCCTCCCCCCAATGTTCAAAGTTGGCGGTGGGTCTGATGAATTGCACCTCGACCGCAGTCTCCCCCGCGCGTGCCAACTTTGAGTTTGGGGGGCAGGGAAGGTGTTCACTAATTGTTTCCCTCTACCGTACGGGTTCCATGTGTTTTTTCAACGTTCCCCGACCCCTCCCCCCCCACTGGACATGCAGGGCAAACTCAGGCCTCCGGGTTGGGCTGGGGTGGTTTGGTGGGTGGTGATGGGCGGCTTCCCGCGCAGTGGGCGCGCACATCCCCTCGCCAGCTGAGCGACGACGAGGAGCGGGGTCCTCCGCGAGAAGGCACTGCGACCTTACACGCGGCGGCTCACGTGGGCCGCCCTGCGCGGCACGCCGCATCAGAAACGGGGGCGCGCCCACGCGCGACCTTGCGCGGGCAGCTCACGCGTTACTGTCGGCGCACGCTTTTTTGCGTCGCTCGGCTGGCCGTTGTGACAAACATCGTAACTAGCGTTTCGCGACAGAACACACGGGAGACCACTCGGGAGGCCATAGTTACGGTAGACTACATGGGAGACCGCACGGGAGACCACAAGCGACCGACCCCTATTCGCTCGCTCACATCGGGCCTTAGGATTACACCCTGGCGGCAGAATACCCTGCGCAACATATCATCTAAGTAGATGGACCACATTCTACTGTAGTGTGCTTGCGGGGGTCCAAACGGCATATCGTACGGGACGCCATGCGGTGTATCATACGGGGGGCCATGCGGGACACCATGGTGGGATAAAGAGAGAGAGAAAGAGAGAGAGAAAAACAACAAGAGAGAGAATGAATGTGTGAGAGAGAGAGAGAGACCATGCATACTATCAAATTTGATATCATGATGGGGGATCATGCGGAAAACAATACTGGGAGACCATACGGAATACCAAAATGGGATACCATACAATAAACCATGCGGGAACCCTGGCGAGAGACCATGCAAAAAATCATGTGGGAAACCGTGCGGGAAACCATGCGGGAAACCATACGGGAGACTACACGGGAAACCATGCAGCATACTATACGGGAAACTGTACGGGAGGCCGTGCCATAATTCACTAGCCAGGAGCCACCGGTTCCAGATTTGGATTCGCTTACACGTGCCTAGTAGCAATATCATACACACGCGCACACACATATGATACTAAGACCATCGCGCGCGCTTCGCGCGCGCTCAAGTTCTAGCGAGCTTCTTGGGGCCTCCGCGGAGCATCCTGGACTGCTTTTTGACGCCGTCATGGGACCTTCTTGGCATGTCTTCGGGGGCCTCTTAGAAAGAGTTTTAAAGCTTTTTGGGTGCCGTCTTGGGGCCTCTTGGAGCCTCTTTTGGGCTTCTCGGGGGCCTCTTGGGGCCTCTTGGGGGCCTCTTGGGGCCTCTTGGGGGCTTCCTGGGGGCATCTTGGGGCCTCTTGGGGGCTCTGGGGCCGTCTTGGGCCGTCTTGGGGCTCTTTTGGGGGCCTTCTGGGCCGTCTTGGAACGGGTTTGGGAGCCTCTTGGGCGGTGCTTTAGCGCCGGAAACACGACAAAGCGAGAATACAAGAAACATTGAACAAAAACTAATCGAAATCAGCGATGTGTCGGGGCGCTTTTGGTCTTACA